ATTCACATAGTAACGTTCAAAATAATTCATCATTTGGTGATAATTTATCTTTATTTAATAATTCTAATTTAAATAATTTATCTATTTTAAAAACACAAAACGCAACCAAAAGGTAGAAATTTGAATAATCAAAAAGAAAACAAAAACGTCAATTTATATATTTCAGATCCACATCAATGACATATTTATGTCGATTTAATCAACGAAATCGTTTAATTGAAATACCAATAACAAGTGAATATTATAATCAACAAAATGGTATATCACATGAACATCTTAAACAATTAATAAGTAAACGAAAAAAAAAAAAAAAAAAGAATTTTTTTTTCTTATATAAAATTTATTTCCCATGGGATTTCAGTTCAAGAATTTCAAATACCAAAATCAACATTAATTATTATTCAAATTTGGAATGAACAATATCAAGAATATATTGATATTGAATCATATAAAAAACTTCCTTTTGATGGACGTCTTCAAGTTCTTATGTAAGTTTCTTATTACATTTCTACGTAGTTGAATATATATTTAGCATTCTTTGTTCTTAACTATGTTCTCAAGTATCATTTACTTTTATATTAAAATGAGTAAATCTAATACAATGAAATAGCAAAAAGAAAAAGTAGATGAGTAGAAATTTGAGAAATATCCTCAATAAGAATTTTATATAATCATTCTGAATAGAAAATTGGTTTTCTAGAAAATAAAATGATATTGTATTGAGTATGTATGAAACATATGATTTTTCTCATTTGAAATGAGTACATCCTTATTGTTATTTGATGAAAAATGACTCGAGGTAAATTCAATATGCAGAAAGTATCGATTTTCAAAATAAATAATCATTGCTTTAGGATATTATGTCAAAAATAAGGGAAATTTTTGTTATTTTGTATAGTGAAAAAGATATAACATCGACTGGAAATTCACCGTCAGTTATTTCAAAAAGTCCAACAACACCAATATCATCAAATACAGTCACAACCATGACTCGTTCAATAACACCTATACAATTACAAACAACACCTAATGATAATCATCATGACGAAGAATTACCATCAAAATCATCTTATGATGAACCAGTTAGCACGTAAGTCATATTAAATTAAATTTAATATGAAATGTTACATGTTTTCTTTTCTTTTTTTATGAATAGTGTATCTCCAATGCATCAAATTGATAATTTAACAGCAAGTCAACAAAATATTATGTATGATTTATTGCCAAAACCAACTGATGGAATACCAATTCCACGTTTTCCACCACATATAGCTGCTTTTTTAAATGGTAATGGTGATGCTAATCAATTGAATGCACTTGTTCAAGCTCTTTATCAAGAAATTGTTAAATATGAACTGTAATATATTATAAATAGGTTTTTTTGTTGTTATTCTTTTTTTTGTTTTTTGCTTTTCTAGTTATCCAAATGCTGATGAATTACGTTCAATTGTTAGTCGTCTTGTTGATCGACATCCAAATAGTCTTCCTGTTATTGGTAGTATTGAATTATTAGTAAGAAAATTATATTATAAATTTTGTAATGAACGTAAAAAATATCCCGTGGAATTAAAACGTCGTCAACCAAATAAACGTAAAAGACTTACACGTGATGATGATACAGTAATAAATAATGTACAACAAGGACGAAATAGTAATACAATACATGATCTTGATCGTCTTATGCATTTATGGACAACAACAAATGATTATAAAGATATAATTAAAATTGAAAAGACTCATAATCAAGAACAACAACATTCACCATCTGGTTCATCATCGGGCTCATCATCACCTGTATCAAATCATATGGTAAATGAGAATCATGATCAATGGGATGAATGTCAAAAATATCATCCATTAAATTTATCAATTGGAAATAATACTAATAATCTTATGTGTACTGAATAATTTAACTTTAGATTTATTTTGACTTAGACAATGATTTGTTTGGTTTTTTTTTTTCTTCATATTTCTGTCTTATATGATTGTGTTCGTTCATCTAGTTTATGTGCGTGTCTGTTTGTCTTCTCCCGTGATCTTACTTTAACTCTATCTTGTTAATCACCTTCATTATAAGAATAGATTTATTCAAATGTCGTGTTTGTCGGTATTAACGTAAAGATGTTGTTTTCTACGGGAAGCACATTTCAATTAAAGAAATCTTAACAAAGAAAACAACGATTGTGCATGAAAAAAAAAAATTTCTTTTTTTGAAGTGTCTCACTTAATTAGAACAAGCCTGAATTACAAGAAAACAATGTTTCCTTTTTTTTTTGTTTTTTATGCACTGACATGATGATAAGATTGTTTAAGTATAATTATCATATATAGTAGTATTGAGATATAAAGCTTTGAACAGATCTTCTGGTATTAAGTGACGGATTGTAATTGAATAGAAAAAGAAAACGAATGGTATAGAAGTGTTGAAAGTGGATTCTAGGTTTGTTTATACAATGTCCTTAATAATGAAGGGATTTCTGACGATTATTTTCATCATATTGATGAACAAGATTCTGATGAATTCCTTGGAAATATTTGTGTGAAAAATTATTAGTAAGTCAAATCATAGACTTCACACTTATAGAACATTTGTCGAAGATTTTTATAGGTTTACTTTACAGACATGAGACCTGTCAATAATTAAATTACTATTTAGAAAAAAATGAAATATTAATTGACTGGTAGTTATTTAGAATATTTTTTTTTTTTTTTGGTAATTGTATGGGAAATACATTTACGAAATTGATCAAATTTTCATGTTTAAAATAGCTTTATAGATAATAATGAATGAATTGTTTAAAAAAAATAGTCATATTTTGATCTAGATTTTTCTAAGTACATCATTTTAGTCGTGTTAAATTTTTTAAATGAAGAGTATTTTTAAGAGAATATATGTCTGGTGTTACAGTGAATTTTTGTTTTTTAGTTGTCTATCTTTAATATTTGAGTTTGTAAGAGACACTCAATTCTCCATATGCGCTGTCTCGCTTTGTTTCCTGCCATAATTCTTATTAAGAAAAAAACCGTATGCCATTTCATTTTATTCTATATCACGATTGAATAATCAATTTCGATGGGTCACATCAACATTGCACTTATTTTGAAGCATTCATTTTAACGTCGATGCCATTTCTATTCATACAGAAGAAAGGTTGTAATTGTCTAGCATCTTTTTTTTTTCAGTTTATAAAAAATTATATATATATAGTGTAAAAGGAAAAGAGCGATCTTTTTCCTTCTTTTCTTTTTGTCTCTATCATTATGCTTTCGTGCATGCGTTTCATGTTATGATGGATGTTACAATAACGGAAGTATGACAAAAAAAAATAAAGATGTGTGCATACGCCTGCTGAAAATGTATCAGCGTGTAGCATATTTTTATTTTTAATCGTCTTGAAAATTATTTCTCCTATAACACAAATAAGTGCACAATTACGCTGAGCAAAAAAAATCTATTTCCGTATCCGTTCCGTTAGTGTTAAGTAAGTAAATGGTGGATCTGCCCACAAACAGAGTTTTTAACAATAAGTATATAGTTTATAACGTTTGATCTTATCTTAAAAACAAGAGAGAGAAAGACAACTGTTCATTGAGAAAAACAAATACGTTTTTACATGCAATCAAGTGTAGATATCTAGTAAGTATATTGCGATTGCTTGAAAACCAGCTGTCATTGCCTATTATGCATGATGCATTCATGTCAATTATAAATACAAATTCGAGGAAAACAAATGGATTGGGAATTTATGAACATTACTGTTTTTCTGATTACGATCTCCAGTGTGATCTATCTAGAAATAAACTTTTTATACATGCTAAGTATTATTATTTAAAATATAGTCTGCATATTTAATAGTTAATTCAAATGAATTTTAAATTACAAAAAGTTTCAGACGATAATATTTGGTATTAAAATTCAAATTATAATAAGATATGTTTTTCTCTCTCTTTACATTTTTCTCATTTACAAGAATAATGAAATATCTCTTTATATTTTATTTGAACCGAATGGAACATTACACTAGTGATATTTCATTCTCAATAGATCTGTCTCTCGGTTTTTGTTTCCATTTTTCTTTAACATAATTTTGTAAACCTAATCTGACGTCCAATATAAACCTAATAATAAAGATATTTGAGATGAGGATGCTGAAAATTAAGGTTAGTCAGGCAAGCTTGAGTAAAACATGCAATAGAGATACCGAATATTTTGTACTATAATATACAGATATATCGACAAATATATTATTGTATTATTCATTTTAATGAATATTTTTCTATCGCTGTGAATCATCTTTAATTTTCTACGTTTTTCTTTTGTTGTTTGAAGAATATAATTAAGATCAATTTTGTTCATTTATGTCCTTAGAGAAAAAAAAAAGTTTTTTTATTCTTCTATAATATTTGTTCTTTTTTTTTACTTTTGACCTACTATTCCGATTGATAATTCTCAGTTTAAATTTTAGTTCTATTCAATTTTATATAGACTTATTTTAATCTATCTAGGATTATTGTTTATTGTGTCATATAATATATAGAACAAAAAAAAAAATACCATGTTTACAATTGTTTCATGTGTCTTGTAAAGCTTTAATATATTTGAGTGAGAAAAGGAAAAAATATGATTTCCATTAAAAGAATACTTAATAATTCCCATTAACGGAAAATAATAGTAAATAATTTCGACAACAAAGGTTTTTTTTCAAAATCTTTCTAAAACTATTAATGTTTGAGGATTTAAAGACTTTCTCTATTTCTATTTTTGACACACTGTCATTTTTATTTGTTTTCTTTATTAATGTCATTCTCTTCTTATATTACTGCTGCGTATATATCTCTCTCCCTCTATATATATACATTCATAATATTGTAATATTCTCTCTCTTAACCACGAGCAAAATTCTGACATGATTAATAAAAAAGAAAAAAAAAATTTTTTTTTGGTATATTAAATAAATTTCATATTTTTCTTTTAGATAGTGTAAAACTAATAAGCGATTATGATTCTCACAAATTATACCGATGTTTTTGATAATGATTCATTGATAGAATCATTGGAAATAGCAAATCCATGTCCACGACAACGAAGTATTACTCGACCATTATTGTTTGTTCATAATTATGCTTTATTTTTCTTTGGTTCAATATTCAATTTTCTTGCATTTGTTATTCTAATGCAACGTTCATTAAGATGTCATTCAACATTTGCTTATTTAGCATTTCTATCCTTATCAAATGGTTTACTATCATTAGTACATTTTTCTAAATGGATGTTTAAATATTATTTTAATATATTATTTGAAAGTTATTTGATAACATGTCGTTTTCATCGTTTTCTATCAGATTTTTTAACACATTTTAGTTTATTTACATTAATATGTGTTAATATTGATCGAGCTCGAACAGTAACAAAAAGTCATCCCAGTAAAAGATATTCAAAATCAAAATTTCATTTAATATTAATGAAAGAAATTCTTGTTGCAAGTATTTTATGTGCCTTTCATTTTCATTGGATTATTAAATATGGTTCTGAAGGTAATAATAAATGTTGTTTTCTTTTATTACTAAAGATTTAACAACTATTTTCTACCATTTTGTAAATCTATATCCTTGTTGACACTTGTTTAATAAAATGGAATGACTGTCTGTAAATAATCAAAATAGTTCTTAGTTGTCTAATCGAATTAAAGAAAAAATATTTAGTATGATTTAACGAACCAATTCAAATTTCATTAACCTACACATCATAAGAGATATTTTTATTTATTTGTAGAAAACTATTTTGTTTTTTATGTTTAGTTTCGGATGGTGAAAGAAAAGTAGCATTATGTCGTTTTAATGATAATCAATCAACAACAATTTATTATTATTTTCTTACAACAATATATCCACCATTTGAATTAGTGGTATTTTTTTGTCTTCCACTATTAATTAATATATTTTGTACAATAATTATTATAAGAAGTTTAAGTATGAGAATGCGTACAGCTGAAAAACTTCGACCATCAAAACTAAGTCTTCAAGATAAAATGATAAAAACAAAATTACCAGGAATATTATCTTATTTAATGCCAACAAAAGCGAGTAAAACAAATTTACATTCATGTTGTTGTTTACAAATTCAATGTCGACGACATACACGTATTAGATTAAAAATTGGTCGAACAAAACAAAGTTTAAATAAATATCATGAAGAAAATAAAACAATTGATCGACAACAATCAATAACAAGTTTATCAAATGATAATCAAGTACAAGGAACATTAAAAAATACATCAAATATATTAAATAAAAGTCATCGAACAAGACGTACACGTGATATACATTTATCAGCAATGCTTATTAGTTTAAATATACTTTATTTATTATTAAATTTACCATTTAATTTACATCAAACATTTGTTAAAAAATTATATAATATAAATTCAGATTGGTGTAATATTATGTTTATTAGTTTATTATTTGATGCTTTACAACAAACATTTTTTACAACAAATTTCTTTTTATATATTTTAACAAATCGACGTTTTAGAGAAGAATTTTATAATACAATGATTAAAATATTAACACGTTGTAAACAAAATCCTTCAAGAGACAAACAAAATAATAATAATAATAATAATAATAATCAATATAGAAAACAAATACGTTCATCAAGTTTTACTGCATCAACAAAAAAGAGAACAAATTCAACAAATGAAAATCAAATAAATTGGATACCAACTAGTCAAAATGGTGATAGTATTATATCTGATTTAGAATTACCTTCAACATCACCAGCACTTCAACAAACAATTGCATTAATTAATGAAAATAATAAATCTAATCAGAAATTAGTTATGTTCAAAGATTAATCAAGTAATTAAATATTTGTATACGTATTTATGTTTACAAAATAATGAAATTTTATTTTAAGATCTATTTATCTATGAAGCCATGATAATTTTATTTTATTTGTTCTTTAGAAAACTCAATAAATTATTAATTATAATCATATTACAGTTTTTCTTTTCGTGATTTGTATGTATTGAAAGTTTTGTACAAAGTGAATTTTTTTTTTTGTGTTATTGTCTTAATCAACTTATAGTGAAACATAAATATAATTTGAAAGTCCATGTGTTATTTCTAAACTCTAATCTCGCTCGTTCAATGAGAGTGTAAAATTTCTGTGAAAAGATGGAATTATGTGAGTTGATGACATTGTAAAAAATTTTGTTTGCTAATAAATGTCTTATAAACATTTGTATGTTCAAGGATATACTAAATGTCCTTGATTTGATTTGATTTGAATTTTTTTTTTTGTGATCAAATATGCTCAACAGCACCATAGGTCTTGACCTTGTTCACATCGTTGCATAAAATAATTTCATCATATAGTCGAATGATGAAATAAAGAATGTAGTGTATTATGAGAAAAAAAAAAAAAGTCAAGAGAATGATTCGTACAATGTATAGACGAGAGAAGCAAAAAAAAACCGAATCATTGCAATAACACAGTCGCATGAAAGAATACTTTAAGAACGATTAAGTGAAAACTAAACGAAAAAATAGTTCTATTTAATTTATTCTTATTTATTTAATTTCAATATTAAATTTCTAATGACAGATAAATCACATCTCATATGGCAAATTTTTGAAGCTATTCAAAGTAATGATAATGGTCAAATTCTATGGAATTTACTTGATCAAATAAGAACAACATCAGATGATGGTATAGTTTATATGACATATGGAAATGAAACACCGCAATCATTAGCAGAAAAACTTCATCGACAACATCTATTCAAATTAATTCAACTTCATCACAAATTAACTTATCTTCGAGCACAATTTTAATAATTATAATATAACTGAAATAAAATTGCACAAAACAAGATCATATATTTTATATGTTCAATGCACAAAAAAAAACAGAAAAAAAAAGAATTAAATAACAATATTTTGTTTTTAATGTTGGTTCAAGACTTAAAGGCACTCCATTGTTTTTTGAATATCTCGACAACCGCACCAGCTAGCGATCTGTAGTTTTCGCCAATCGAAAGAAGAGGAATAGGGTCGTCTTTTTCTCCGATAATGTATACGACGAAATTCTTTTAAAACTAATCATTTTCGAAGAATATGTAAAAGAACCCATGAAAATGACCTGCCAGGTAGATGAAATTTTGATTTTGACTTTTGATTCAGATAGAGACATTTGAGATCTGTAGTTCAAGATACAATACACTTTCTTACTTTTTCCTACATTTTCATCGAAATCTCAAGCTACTATGATAAAAAGTGCGAAAATTTACTAAAAAATCAACAAAACATCTCTATTATTTCCGGATGTAAGTACATGATTCCATTTGCTCAATGTTAGAATATAATAAAAGAACTATTTGAATTGTATCTTGAGCCATAGATTTCAAATCTCTCTATCTAATGAGAATATCAAAATCAAAAATTCATCGTCTTGGTATACCGTTTCCATGCCTTCTCAGGAAAGATTTGCATGAATGACTGTGTTCAAAACGATTTCGTCTTATACATTATCAGAGTAAAAGGTGTCCTCATGTCCTCTCTTATGATTGGTGAAAACTGCAGATCACTAACTGGTGCGGTTGTCGAGATATTCAAAAAAAATAGAGTGCCTTTAAGTCCCGAACCGACATTAGTTACATATTCTAGAATAGAGTATCATGGTATATCCCATTAAATATATAAACATATTTTTCTTTGTCTTTAATATTTAATCATTTATCAGAAACACCTCAGCAAATGTATCCTCTTTCTCAACAAATAAGATATAAAAGTAGATCAAATAATTATGTAGGAGGTTAGGTATTTTCTAGTAAAACCCCTCCTACTCATTCTACGTATCTGTTGTCATCACATTCTTCATATACGCATTTTCTAAGACATGATTGTGCGTTCAAAGTATATAATTATGTTAGAATAGCTCAGCTTTCTCATTTTTATTTGATACTCAGGAAATCTTCATCCACGACATAGTGATTCTGTAAAAAATATAATAATTACGATATTACTATATGCAAAAACATGATTTATAAATTATTTATTTACACATGTACAAAATTTTTCTCGTCTTTTAATTTAGTGAATAGATAAAATTAAAAGAATTTTGAAATTTTTACGTATAAATAAACTTTTCTAATACTTAGAATATAATAAAAGTAATAATACTGGCACTATAATATTGTATAGATCATTCGAGGAAAATTTCTCTTGATATATATATACTAACACTCCAAACAATGTTCTATATTCTCTATATATTTTATCATTCTTTTGTTACGGCTTGGATCAGTTTGTATTTGTGATTGTTCTATTGAAATATGAGGATCATCTTTAATAATAAAATCAACTTTTTTGATATTTTCAAATATTGTTTTCAGAGTTAGAACGAGTATTTGTAATAAAATTCAAGCATTTCTATTATACTTCTTAAGTCATTTGAAATAAATCCATACTCAATAGACTCATTTTTATTCGTTTTATCATGGGCTATGAAAAGTCAATGAACATTTTTCTGTTATAAACATCACTGAATACAAAATTATGTTCAAGTACAAGGAATACTTGTAATTTTAATTACTGTTTTGCAGTTTTTCTATTATTTGTCAACATATTGAAACAATTGGTATATATCATTTTGTACAGTGAAAGACAACGAGCACAATGACTCTAGCGGATTGGTATTTCATATAAGACGTAAAGGTATTATTGACAATGCATATCAAATATAATACAAGTACCCATGTTGGGTCTTGTTAGGTATGAGTGTACATGTGGGTTAAGAGAAGAACTGCATTCACAGCCACAGCAACAGCCATAACACACTCCAACCACACTCACATTCACATCCTTTATATCTTTCTAAATCTTCAATCAATTATTAAAACTTCAAGAAAACAAGAAAGAACTTACTCTTGTAATAGAATCGCACGAAATAATAATAACAATTAGTATTACATTATCAAACACAGTTAATAGATTATGATTTAATTCACCGGCAAGAATACCTTCGGAATTTCTATATATATTAGTTCTTTTACTTTATAAATTTTTTAGATTAAAAAATAAATAAATAGATTGATTTAGAAAAAAACCTCGAATCCAACCAGAGGTCCTTCAAGATATGCAACAAAATTAGAGCACGATCACCTAACTAATAATTATTTTTTGTGGAACTCCCATATATTTTCGAAGAGACTAGTGAGTGCAAATTTTAAGGTCAAGTTTTCGTGTCTTCCCCTTACCTTCCTTCCTTCCTTCCCTTGACAGATATGTAGCAACGGAAGCCTCCGTTACAGACACTTCCCATGACAGACCTTAGCAATCGAGAATAACAGACGTCAGACTTTCTGCAATGTTTTTGCAAAATTGATGAAGTTATAATTTTGAAAGATAATCAACATCATTGTTTATGAGTTGTTTGATATATATATAATAGTAAATAAAATCTGCTGTAGATATAGTGGATATGTAAAACAGACGTATTTGCCAATTAATTCAATGATTATCATAATAAGAATGTTAAATTAAGAAAAACGAATGAAAAAAACATGAAAAATAGTAAATGAATAGCAACAATTCAAACAAAAAATAGGACGCCCGTAGAAATCTATATTAGTTTAATGCTCTAGAGAACGTGTATAGTATGTTTCAATACTAAAGAAGAGTTAGTTTTTCTAATACTTGATGCATTGACTAGATGTAACTGTAATTATCGATCATCTATTGCAAGGTGATAATTAATAAATATGAATGAAAAGATGATTATTATGATTGATTATTCTGAAACAAATGTTACCAAGAATTAATCAGAGAAAAAAAGTTTGTTTTGAATATGTTAGGCATTACACGGAAGCTTCCCACCTTTAAGAGGCTACTAAAACAAAAATCTAAAACTTTGCAATACACGAATATTACGTAAAATATTTAAGTTACATTTTCTAGATGCTTTTAAATTTAGAAAACATAGAAGATCGAACAGATTTTTGTATTCGATATACAGGGTGTTCCAAAAATCCATTAGGAAAGTAAATTCGAAGATCTCCATTAATTATCAAACTTAATCAACTGATTTTTTCCAAATGATAGGTGCCGGTGTGAAGTTTGTTTTGATGCGGACAAGCTTCACACACTGTTCAAAGTTATCAATTTCGGCTGATATATAAGAAGCACTCGTTTTTTCGGTTTCCAAAAAATCGCTAGGTAGCGTTTCTCTTTTAGATCGACCAGATTCTTCGCTATCATTTCAATGCATTTATTTTGGTATGTCACTACAGAAAGAAGCCTAATGGTACTAAGTGCAACGATTATGAAGCTCAAAAAATGGGTTCACCTCTTCCAGCTTACGAGTTATTGTGCGGAAACACAAAGCGGTGTCACGAGCTTCGTGAATATCAGACTTGACATCATTAGGCTTCTTTCTGTGGTGACATACCAAAATAAATGCATTGAAATGATAGCGAAGAATCTGGTCGATCTAAAAAAGAAACGCTACCTAGCGATTTTTTGGAAACCGAAAAAAACGAGTGCTTTTTATACATCAGCCGAAGCTAATAACTTTGAACAGCATTCGTGAAGCTTGTCTGTATCAAAAAAAGAAAAACGTCACCCGAGTACCTATCATTTGAACAAAAATCAGTTGATTAAGTTTGATAAATAATGGAGATATTCGAATTTACTTTCCTAAGGGGTTTTTGAAATACTTTGTGGTGTGCGCTCGCCTCAAAACCAAAATTAATATCAATGCTATTTGATGTCATTATTGATGAAAACAAATAAAGATACAATAGTTTTTTATTTTTATGGTGAACTTTTGCAGAGCAACGGAGGACTTCATGAGACTCCGAGGGACTCCAAAGGATTGGAGTCTGTCGTTTCCCCGTGAGAATTGTTTATTACTGTCAGACATATACAAGAGAATTCGTTGACTATTATTGTCGTAATTTGTTGTCAACTATATGACTGAGTCAAGCTATTCAAGCTTATTTTTCAAATAATCAATATAAATTAATTTAAGTTAAAGAACGTATTAAACATTTAATGAATGAAGATGAAAAGAGTTTTAGAAAATTAATTGATGAAAAACACAAAAAAATTCCGTGTTTGATATCATTATTATCATAAATCAATTGTTATATTGATAATTTTATACAATTAGTACAACAACTGATAGTAATGGAAATGATAAAACAATATATGATGTTGTTAAAATTGTAACAACAAATGACGATGATTAATACGATGCAAACGAATGTTATTATTCAATTGTTCATCGTAAGCGTAAACGGGTAGAGACAAGAAAAAAGTATTTATCGGTGGACAATTAATACAATATTAATTCCAAGATTTTGAATAATTTGATATATTCTATAATAATAATTTCAATGATATTCTTGCTAATGAAATAGATCTTGGAAAAATTATGCAAAAAATTGCTACAATTTTTTGTTCATAAGCAAAGCAGTCGTGTTCTTTATTAATATTCGACATTTGTTTGGAATGTGAAAAATGTTGTTTATAATTATATTGATTTCCACAGTAAATTCGAATGACAACATCAAACGACGTTCATCGACTTTTTACTATTAAATTTCAACCATTTAATATAATTATACGAATGAATTTTTTCAGATATAATAATGACTCACGTTATACCACCAGCGGAAATGCGTGGCAGTGATGTAATCGAATTAATTTTTGAACGTCTTCCATTTATTCTGGTATGGAACGGGACACATGTACAATGGACGCAGGTGATTAATCATCAAATCATGACTGTACCACGATATATAGTGCCAAAAATCCTGTTGGATGCTATTATT